ATTTGACAATAAATTTCATATATTAAAAAAATAAATTAATAAATGTCAAAAAATACATTAAAATTAAAAATAATAATAATAATAATAATTTGCCAGTCACAGAGAAAGCACAAATATCCATCACTAGGAGTGGATCATATTATTTCCTAGTATTTAATTAATACCTAAGTCCCAAGAAGAAACCTGACAAAATTACTTAAATTGTAGAAGGTCACACTGTATTATGCAATTATAAGAACCACTAAAATGATCCTAAAATGTAGCATTTATTCATTCAACAAGTTCCACATTTCAAGTAAGATACCATTGATTTTAAGATCCACTATTACTCTATGAACCACTGAGAAAGAAAAAAACAAGTCTAAAATATGCCACTGATTGTGAAATGCATCCTAATTTGAGTGGTTAAACTGTGAAAACTATGCTTGTTTGAAGAAATATGTAATTTATTTAAGTTTATTTATTTTGAGAGAGACAGAGATAGTGTGAATGGGGAAGGGGCAGAGAGAGAGGGGGAGAGAGAGAGAGAGAGAGAGAGAGAGAGAGAGAGAATCCCAAGCAGGTTCTGAGCTGCCAGTGTAGAGCCTGATGCGGGCCTTGAACCCACAAAGCCGCAAGATAATGACCTGTGCCAAAACCAAGACTTGAACACTTAACTGACTAAGCCACCCAGGCACCCCAGAAGAAATACGTAATTTAAAAGTGCCTAGTATGGGGGTGCCTGGGTGGCTCAGTCGGTTAAGTGGTAACTCTTGATTTCGGCTCAGGTCATGATCTCACAGTTTGTGAGTGTGAGCCCCGTGTCGGGCTCTGCACTGACAGTGTGGATTCTCTGCTTGGGAGAAGCAGACATTCTTGGGATTCTCTCTCTCCTTCTCTCTGCCCCTCCCCTGCTCATGCTCTCCCTCTCTCTCTCAAAGTAAATAAAACTTAAAAAATAAATAAATAAATAAAAATAAAAGTGCCTAGTATGAGTGAGGTAACATGCTAAGTACTACAGATATAGTGATGAGCAAAAGAAACCTGGTCCCAATCCTCAAGGAGCTTACACTCAAGTCAGGGCCAGCAGTACAATAAGCAATTAGAATTCAAGTATGGAAGGGGCTATGACTGGGGTAACTTGGGCTACAGGAACAGAGAACAGGTCCACATAGAAACTACAGGTAGACAATGTCACAGTGTCTCAGGCACAAGTGAAAAATTTGTATCACTGCAGCTCTAAGGAGCCTCAACAGGAAAAGTATATACAATATTCTTCACACAGGTCCTGAAACAGAGGTTAAATGTGAATAGCTGAACACGCAGAGAACAGGAAAGGTTAGAAAAAAAAGAGGTGCACATCACTGACCTCCAGGTGCAGCCAGCAGCCTTTTCACAGGCTCCTGCAGGAGATAACAGACCACCCAGGAGAAGAAAGCAAAGGTTTTAGAAGAGAGATAAATTTCACTTTGCTCTCTAATTCACAGCCAACATCCACTAAATATAAAGGAATGGGAGACTAAAATCTTAAAACTGCCATTTTAATTCAAGTACAAGTGGACAAGTCAGAAAGAGCAAACATGCAGAGAGAAAACCAAAATGAAAAACAAGATGTGGAAGAACACCCTGGAGAGAGAAAGGCAAAACGGACATGGGCACAAGATGACAAAAGACTGTAAAACAGGAGACACGCACATCACCGTGTGCACATTTGCCCAGAAAAGAGACCCAACAGCAAGAACGATGTTGAAGGTTTCCCTGAATGGAGGGATCCAATTTTCTTCTTCAGACTTTTCAGTATTTTCAATATATTCAACAAAGTAGCCATTTATTTTCTGTGGTAGAAAAAGTAAGGGTGTGTGCATTTGTGTGTGGGTGTGTCTGCATTTTACAAAACATGAGAAACAAACACCTCAGAATATAAATGCAAAAAAAAGAAGTCTACCTTTTCTGACTCCTCAACCAAATGAGTGCTCCCCACTGCTGATGAGTCTTTGCCACCATCAACCTTCTTATCCCCAGGTTTCACTCCGAATGGTGCCTCCTTTTCTTCGTCGCTGAACAGCAAAGGTGGTACTTCAGGGACAGTCTCTCTTTTCTACCAAAAGAAGAGCAAATGACATCCTTAAAAACAAAACTGTGGGGGTGCCTGGGTGGCTCAGTCGGTTGAGCACCCAACTCTTGATTTGGGCTCAGGTCATGATCCCAGGGTTGTGGGATCGAGCCTCACATTGGGATGTGCGTGGAGCGTGGAGCCTACTTAAGATTCTCTCTCTCCCACTGCCCTTTCCCCACTTGTGTGCTCGCTTGCTTGCTCTCTCTCTCTCTCTAATTAAAAAAAAAAAGTGTGCTTTACTAGCATGACAACATAAAGAACAAGGTGAAACCACAATCTTCTTGAGGGAGTTAGTGAAATGTGGAGGGAGAGACAGTGCGGGACAGTGAAGGGGGCACAAACAGGGAGAAGCAATAAACGCCACCACCTCACTTATAGACACAGCACTTCACAGCTTCTGCCACGGTAACGCCTGCACCTGTCTCCGTGTGTCCATTCACTTCACAGATACTGCTATTGATTAGAACCTTATGTCTGACTCCCAGATAACCACTAGTCTCTCCTCTCTGCCTCGGTCCTCCCACATTTCAGGTCAATGATGTCATCCAGAGCTGCCTCTGCTAAAAGAAAATACATACCAGATTGCTTCATCTCCCACCCCAAAGCTGCACTATTTGCATTAAGTAAATGCTAAATGTGACTATCAACTAATACCTCATCTTCTCCCTTTGTTTACCTGCATCTTACCAATCTTCCCTATTCCTTTTCTTCTTTTAAGTTTATTTATTTTGAGAGAGAGAGCACAAGCAGATGAGGGGCAGAGAGAAAGAGAGGCAGAATCCCAAGCAGGCTCTCCGCCATCAACACAGAGCCTGATGCAGGGCTTGAACTCACAAACCGTGAGATCACGACCTGAGCCAAGATCAGGAGTCAGACGCTTAACCGACAGAGCCACTCAGGTGCCCTCAATCTTCACTATTCCTTAAACCTTCCGTGAATTTGCACCCTTCCCCACTGTCTGTAGAAGCAAATCCTCATCTTTCAAGCAAGGCCCAGCTTGAGGTCCCCATAAAGGTTTCTCTACCTTCTTCAGTAACTATCAGTTGCTACACTGGTAAGATTATTTATCTGTCTACCTCGATTTTATTTTCTTCTTAACTTACATTAATAGCTATCACATATGTCTGTCTATTCCCTTGAAAGGATAATATAATTCAACAGTGAGTCATGGTGTTTTATACCAAGTAGATGGTCCACACCAGTTTGCGAGCACTTTGCTCAATCTGTCATGTCCCTGATGGGGGAGGCAGGGATTTCAGGGATTAGAAAACTGAGGTTATGTGACTCACCTACAGTTATCAGCATCCTTAGGGAAAGTGATCAAAAATTCTTGAGGAAAAACTATAACTCTATCATACCAACTAGATGAGACGTTATGAGGAAGTAAGCTTTGAAGCAATATCTAAATCAAGTTAGGAAGACAGATTTGGGAAATCGAAGAATGCTCCTTAACTACGAGAGAGAAAAAATTATAAATGAAGTAAAAAATAGAGTAACATTTTTAATTATTGTTAGGAAGAGGTCCTTAAAATGTATCATCAGTTTTAACCTGAAATAAAAGGCTGGAAACCCACAAAGCAATTTCAGAAGAGGTAAGGCAATACTGAAGTGATTAAAGGAAAAACTTTTGGTGGAATGCACTGGGCTCTCTGAAAACCACATACAACTTCAACGCAAACCGGTCAGGGTGAAAAATGAGACTTTAGTATGGCCCCTTAAACCAAGGAAAACGCCACCCAAACTATCGGTTGCAAATCTTCCTAAAGATAAAGCTGACTTCATCTTCATCGTGAAATTAATTTCTTTGACAGGTTTATAACAGAGTCACAGCTAACTTTAAAATATTCAGGATCTCTAAACAAAAAAAAAAAGTGTTTTATACACTGCTGTCTGAAGGGAACTGTATTTCACAAATGGTAAGAATCTGTGTACAGTTTGTTCAGCTACGTGAGATGTAGATCTTTGAGCCTCTGTCTTATTTAACAGTCATAATTACTACAGGTTGAAAGAAGTTTTCCATTTCCATGACCTTTAAAATTTATTAGGTTATTGCTCATTTATCTAGAGAAGAAGTTATTATTTATAATCTACAATGAAAAACCACTCAGATCTCCTGACCCTTTTAACCACGGAACCACTTGATGTCATCTTTAGGGAGGTGCAAGTATGGGTGATTCGAAGAAAAGATCATGAGCACCTCAGAAGCAGCAGGAGGGAGCCCCGGGGCCCAGGGAATATAGCATGTTCCTCCCAATGCTGAAAGCTTCTGGTGTAAGCCATGCACACCCACTTAATGGGAATACGGTGGGGGAAAAAAGTTCCTAAATCATCAACTGACAAGATCCTGGTCTGGGAAGCTTCCATAGGACAAGTTAACAGTTGCACTATGTCTGACAAAATGAAAACTGTTTCCCGATAAGAGAGACAACAACCTTCTCTGGAGTAATCTGGGACAGCAAGAGTCACCTAAAGCACACGGAGAGTGAGGCTGGAAGAGATGAGTCCAGTGTGAATGAGATTACGGGTGGCACCGCAAGCTTAGGCATTTGTGACAAGGACGTGATAGGATCAGGCTGCCTTTAAGAATAGAACCAGAGCAACAGCAAGAAGGGCAGATGAAAGGAAGGAGCATTCGAGGAGAGGCCAGGTAAGAAATTATCTCAGTAGTCAAGGCTAAAGATGACCCGGAAGTTGGGATGGAAAGAGACTTCCCTAGAGGCGCTGGTGTGGCGCAGTGTCCTGATCTTGATCTCGGCTCAAGTCATGATCTCACAGTTAGTGAGTTGCAGCCCCGCACTGGGCTGTGCGCTGATGGCACAGAGCCTTTTTGGGATTCCATCTCTCCTTCTCTCTGCCCTTCTCTCACTTGTGCTCTCTCAAAAAATAAATAAATAAAATAAATAAATACATAAACTTTAAAATAATTTAAAAACTTAAAAAAAAAAAGGGGAGAGAGATCCCTAATAAACAGGAAACAGTGACAATTACTCCATCAAAGGCAAAATAAGTCACACATACCCTGGGACAGCTACACTACGGAATACTGATAGTGGTGAAAAAAGAAGCTAAAGCTTATGGAAATGAAAAATATGTTGCAGGACAAAACAACTTACAGAAAAAGGTACAACATGACCTCATTTAACTAAATAGAGTGAATGCCTGGAAACAGGCCTGAAAGGGCTGACAATGCACTGTTACCAATGACTACTCTGGCAGGAGCATAAGGACTTTGTATTCTCCGTGCATTTTCTAAACCTTTTTAAAGAAGACATCCACATATTACTGCATAATGTAAAATAAACTTGAAACAAAAACTATTTAGGAGGAATGGAAAAACCAAGTATCAGCCTCTAGAAAACAGAAGTTCCAAGGCTCCTTTACGGTCTTATCTCTCCTTCATCAAACCTATGCAGGTAACAGGGACTTGGTCACCCATCACCACGGTGGGAGGAGGAGGGCCTTCCTCATCAAGCATGGGTGGCAGAGTTGCCGTGGTGGCTGCTCCAGCGTAGGAGGGGTCCCACGGGCTCCTACCTTCTTCCTGGTCTTAAGTGTCTTTTTGCCTCTATCACATGCCAGATTTGAATGGCGTGGAGTTGGGAGTCGAAGGCCTGACAGCAGGCTGTGAGTTGGCTTGATTCTTGGCCTTTTAGGCTAACCCAGGTCAGATAAAGGAGTTCTAATCCATGGGGTCTAGCCTAAAAAGTTCCACATTTCCCTTTGGGGCTGTTACAATTGCCAGCTGGCAGTAAAATAGCTGTTTGGCCTCATTTTGTTCTATGTGCACACACTCACATACACCCACTAAGGAATGAGCTGGGGAAAGATGAATGACAGGCCAGGGCAGGATCCCAGTATGCCCAGGTTCCCTGGATAAATATAACATAATGCCAGCTTCCTCTCATTCTTTTTTTTAAATTTTTTTTTTTTCAACGTTTATTTATTTTTGGGATAGAGAGAGACAGAGCATGAACGGGGGAGGGGCAGAGAGAGAGGGAGACACAGAACCGGAAACAGGCTCCAGGCTCTGAGCCATCAGCCCAGAGCCTGACGCGGGGCTCGAACTCACGGACCGCGAGATCGTGACCTGGCTGAAGTCGGACGCTTAACCAACTGTGCCACCCAGGCGCCCCAGTTCCTCTCATTCTTTAATACTCCTTTTTGATATAACTAACATCGAGATTGGCTAAATCTTTAGCTGAGGTGATTGTGGTCATTTAGACCACCACAATGATTGTGATGTCATTTAGATGTACTCACTGGAATCCTTTACACCAGATGCCACTGATGGACTTTTTATTACATACTTTACCTTTTTTATGTTTTTTTAGGGGCACCTGGGTGGCTCATGATCTCACGGTTCATGAGTTCAAGCCCCGCATCAAGCTCTGTGCTGACAGCTCAGAGGCTGGAGCCTGCTTCAGGATTCTGTCTGTCTGTCTCTCTCTCTGCCCCTCCCCTGCTCACTCTCCCTCTCTGTCTTTCTCTCTCTCTCTCTCCCTCCCAAAAATAAATATTAAAAATATATATATTCAATGTTTTTTAGGTTCATTTATGTAGGTAATCTCTAAACCCACCAACATGGGGCTCAAACTCATGACCCTGAGATCAAGAGCCGTGTGCTCTACTGACTAAACCAGCCAGGTGCCCCCTTTACTGTAATTTTTTAAAAATTTTTAACCATGGCAAAAAACAAAATGTGTCATCTTAACCATTTATAATTCAGCAGTGTTAAAAATATTCACATTGTTATGAATATACCACCAATCTCCAGAATTTTTCCATCTTGCAAAACTGAAACTCTGTCCCCTTGAACAATTTCCCATTTCCCTCTCCTGCTAGCCCCTGGCAACCACTAGTTTACTTTCAGCTTCTATGAATTTCACTACTCCAGGTACCTCATGTACGTAGCATCATATACTATTTGTCTTTTTCTGACTGGCTTATTTCACTCAATATAAAGTCTTCGAGGTTCATCCTTGTTCTGGCAGGTACCAGAATTTCCTTCCGTTTTACTGACTGGCTATTCACATAAACCAGGACCAAAGCGTTGGTACTTGAAACATGCTCCTGAAAGGAATAATGTGTGCCTTAACTGACCTGGTCTAATGTTTGCACAATTCCATGCCACTGGGGCTAAGCCTGGCGACCTGCCCAGAACTGCAACAGTGCTCTCCCCTCAGACTTCAGAGACCCACCCCTGATGCTGAAGGGGCTGCAGGACATGAAGGAACCCTTTCCCCCACGCTTTGCACGTGTGCTTCATCAAATACCATAACTAGATGATCTATTTCTAAAACTAGGCAAATAGCTTTTTCTATTAGACTTAGCCCACAAGGTCAGGTTTAGGAGCTGATTCAGGGAAGTATCACTATTCACATAAGATCATGGCAAGGATATTTCCTGGGCCTAGGAGGTCAAGAATACCGTTGTTGTAGGAGGAACAGATGCAGGAGGAGAGCCAAAGAGAGAGCTTCCACTATCGGCATCATCTTCAAAGAGGAGTGACACTCTCTGGGTCTTCTTTTGGCTATACAATCAAGCAAAAGGTGAAATTAAAGGCAAGTATGATTAAAAAATATATATACAATATTCCTTCCAGGCCATACTTACAGGAACCCACCTACCACCAAAACACCCAAGACATCTGCTGACCTTAGGTAGTTGAAAGCAAATGAGAAAAACTTTTGAAGTAGGTGCCATTTGTGTCTAGCAAATCATCAGCCTGTCTCTCATCCTTATGTGGAAGAGTTCAGGGGCCTTCTCTACTTGTCCCTTTGATTCACTGTAGGAGCACTAACTGCTGGCTTTGCAAGTATTTAGTATACGTGCTGCTGAAGCGAGCACTAGCTTTGCAAGTATTTAAAAGCATGTATGGGGATGCTGGGAGGAGAGGTAGGTTTGGAGTAAAAATACTACAAAGATTTGCATTATTCAATCTTACAAGGACCATTAGCTTTCTAGAATTCTCTAGATACACAGAAACGAGATCTCCAGCATTTATTTTCAATAAAGAATATAGTGGGGTTGGGGCGGGTGGGAGCACCTGGCTGGTTCAGTCAGTAGAACATGTGACTCTTGATTCCAGAGTCATGAGCTCAAGCCCCATGTTGGGTGTGGAGCCTACTTAAAAACAAAACAAAACAAAACCAAAAACAGTGTGAAGTTAAAATATTGAGAGAAAGAGAGAGAGAGAATATACTGGGCCCTTTCAGCCACAGCTCTCCTCACCACCTTCCTCTAGCTGGTCTTCACCTACCTTCTCACCTAGATTCTGCCCTGGCTCCACAGAGAAGGTAGCCAATAAACAGAACAAATACTGGGGCGCCTGGGTGGCGCAGTCGGTTAAGCGTCCGACTTCAGCCAGGTCACGATCTCGCGGTCCGTGAGCTCGAGCCCCGCGTCAGGCTCTGGGCTGATGGCTCAGAGCCTGGAGCCTGTTTCCGGTTCTGTGTCTCCCTCTCTCTCTGCCCCTCCCCCGTTCATGCTCTGTCTCTCTCTGTCCCAAAAATAAATAAAAAACGTTGGAAAAAAAAAATTAAAAAACAAAACAAAACAGAACAAATACTGATCAGAGCTTTTAAGGGGCAGATATATGAAAGTGGAGAATCACAGGGAGGCTTAGCACTAGACATGGGGAATCCAGAACAGAAAGCATTCTAACTACTCAAAGGTCAAGTTCCAGTTTTCACTATGTGATAAGGAATCATCCAACTAGCACACTACAGAATTACCAAAGTAATGCAAACTTTAAATTCAATTTTAGCTAGCTAAAAGTAATACTAACATGTTATTTCAGCAAATTGTTTACCATCTATATCTACTTACGTTAGAATATAATTAACTTACACACTAATAAGTATATGTATTATAACCTTTTTTGTAAGTTTAATTATTAGCAAGACACTAGGAAACATATTCATTAGTTTAATACCGACTTCTGCCTATATCTTAAAAAAAAAAACAAAAACAAATACAAAAAAACCTTGATCCTTATCACAGACTAGGGAACAAAACTAACCAAATAGTTGAGTGCACTTAATTGGACGTATACACTAAAGAATGGTTAAACATTAAGACTATACCCTGAATAAGTTATAAAAGCAAAAAGCCAATTTTTAATGACACAGTACGGTAGTATCTAATATACATTTATAGATATACACCAATAAAAATTTGTATAAATTATAACCAAAACAGTTGACTTCTAGATGACGAGCAATCACTATATCAGATGCCTAAAGAATACCAGAAACCAAGGGGCACCTGGGTGGCTCAGTCAGTTAAGCATCCAACTTCGGCTCAGGTCATGATCTTACAGTTTGTGGGTCCGAGCCCCGCATTGGGCCCTGGGCTGACAGCTTGGAGCCTGGAGCCTGCTTTGGATTCTGTCTCCCTCTCTCTCTGCCCCTGTCCTGCTTGAACTCTCTCTCTCAAAAATAAATAAAACACTAAAAAAAAAAAAAAAAAAAAAAAAAAAAAAAAAAAAAAAAAAAAGAATACCAGAAGCCTCATTAAGCAACTATAGCAGGAAAATATCCCATGCATGATTTTCTGAACAAGCAATTTCTTTTTTATTCTTAATGTTTATTTATTTTTGAGAGAGACAGAGTGTGAGCGGGGAAGGGGCAGAGAGAGGAGACACAGAATCTGAATCAGGCTCCAGGCTCTGATCTGTCAGCACAGAGCCCAATGTGGGGCTCAAACTCACAAACTGTGAGATCATGACCTGAGCTAAAGTCAGACACTTAACCAACTAAGCGTGAACAAGTAATTTTTTTTTTAATTAAAAAAAAATTTTAATGTTTATTCATTTTTGAGACAATGCAAGAGACAGAGAGCAAGCAGTGGAGGGGCAGACAGAGGGAGACACAGAATCTGAAGCAGGCTCCAGGCTCTGAACTGTCAGCCCAGAGCCCGACGCGGGGCTCGAACTCAAAATCCGTGAGATCATGACCTCAACCAAAGTCGGATGCTTAACTGACTGAGCCACCCAGGCGCCCCATGAACAAGTAATTTCTAAAAAAACAAAACAAAACACAGCAAAACACCAAACCAACCCACAAAAAATATGTGATGACAGATTCTGAAGGTAAGCTACAGAAAACTAGTTAGCTCTCTGGCCAGAGCTCTAATAGGAAACAACAGCCAGTCCTTAACGTTGGCTCTCACTCCACATACTCAGCAACTGCTGGTTAAGTTTGGCCCTCCCATGGAGATCTGTCCTCAGAAGAAAAATATGCTGCTCAGCGAACTAGGGTGTTTCTCATTATAAATAACAGGTTAAGTATTTTGATTTATTTGAAAGGTACAGACATGAGAAAACATTCAGATAACCACAGGGCCTATTGCCTAAACCAGGACATTTCTGAAAGTGAAAGGGAAATTATTATTAGTCGTCATGCTGGAATGGCAGGCACAAACCAGGGCTGTCCAGGCAAGCCAGGACACCTAAGTGCCCAGCTAACCAGGCAGTATTTCACAACTCTGTTAAAGTCACAGAGCTTCTTTCTGTTTTCAGAATGGTTTTGAGATATAATTTACAAACCATAAAATCTACCCCTTTATAATATGCACTTCACTGGTTTTTAGTATAGTTACAGAGTTGTGCAACCATCACCACAATCTAGGTTCACAGTATTTCCATCAATCCAAAATGATGCCTCATGCCTGTTAACAGACTCAATTCTCCTCCCCCCAGGCAAACACTAATTTACTTTCTGTCTCCATAGATTTATCTGTTCTGGACATTATATGCAAAGGGAACCATGCATGTGGTCCTCTGTGACTGGCTGCTTTCAATTAACACGATATGTAAGGTTCAACTATGTTGTAGCATGTATCAATACTTTATTCCTTCTTATTGCTGAGTCAGAGTTCACTGTATGGATAGAACATATTTTCTGCATCCTGTCGTCAGTTGATGGGATGTTTGGCTTATTTCCACTTTCTGGCTTCCACGAATAATGCTACAATGAACAATCATATATAAGTGCTTGTGTGGACATGTTTTCATTTCTCTTGAGCATCTACCCAAGAATGAAATTAAGTCCTAGAGTAACTCCGTATTTAACTTTTGAAGGAACTGCTGGACTATTCCCCAAAGTGGCACCATTTTACATTCCCACTAGCATTGTGTGAGGGCTCCAATTCTTCCACCGTCGCAGACTATGAGTCTGGAGTTCTCTCTGGTCCAGCAAGAGAGCGGACGCAGAATTCAATATGAGAGAGGCTGATGTCCGGGAGGAGACACGAGCCCTGACAGGGGTTTTGTCTCTGTATTTATTGAGTTCACAAGATATTACCCACGTGGTGAACGTGAAGAAAAAAAGATCTTACACACAGAGACGTGGAGAAAACAATCAGAAGTAATCATTAACTTGTGTGTATAAGAAGCAAAGGGTCTGGGGGACAAGTGGAGTTTGTGATCAAGGTACAACAGTATATTGGAGTCAGATGGAAAGTAATTTCCTACAGGCAATATAACAAGTTACTCGTGATCCCATTACAATAACTTGCTAGCTAACCTCAGGTGCTTTTGCCCTTGGTGACGGTTTTCCGCCCTAAGCTGTAAATAGAACCTATTTCCCCACATTCCACATCCCCTCCTACACTTGCTATTGTCTGTAAAGCAACATGTTACAACACCAATACAGCCCATGCTCAGTCTATGAAATATCCTGCTGGCTTTAGTTCAAGTATTCATGTGGACACCACCTAGATCAGCTAAGAATCACCAGCCACTGGTGTGACAAAGCACCACTCTGCAAAGAATCATCCTCCTAACAGGATGTTTTTCAATGCTGAGCAGATTTCCATTCAAATGAGAAACTTAAGTAACCCAGACCAAACTTTACATTCTACAGGGCATCTCAGAGGAAAAACAAAAACAAAAGATAACAAGCTGCACTTAAATCCCTAACAAACTAAGAAAAATAATATTTAGGGGTTAAAAAAATAATTAAAAGAAATTAGGTAAATCTGCTAACAAAAAAATTTCCCAGTATTGGGGGGAAATACCTTACAAGTGAAAATCAAACACATTCTCCTTTGTATAACTACTAGGTAATGAATAATCATGATGTCACCCCCAAATAACTAACATCTTATGTATCAAATACCTTTACTTATTACCACAGACACTGGCTAAATGATTTCTTACAATGACTACCTTACCTGTCCTTAGCAACAGCAAACAGATCATCTTCATCATCCTCCTCAAAGAGGCTGGTCTTTTTCACAGCCTTAGCCTCCTGCTCCTGATTGGTCCCAGAGCCCCTTAGTTCTCCTTTAGATCTGTTGTCAGACGCTGAGTTCATCTGTGAATCAGTAACATTCCACTGATCCTTAAAATATAAAATATATATTAAAACCCAGTGACCATTCAGACGAAGGAACCTGGAAATAAAATAAAATTTAAGTTCCATTAAATTGTATTTACACTAAATACTTAATCAAGTACATCACTCTTGAAGAGAACTCATGACTGGGACTTTCCCTCTGAACTCAAATCTAGACAGCTGGGTTCTTTGACCTCGCAAACTTTCTGCCTTCCTCCTCCATCACTACACTACGTTTCTCCCCTCTATGGTCCTATTCTGGGTTAGGAAAAGGGACATTGTCTACCCTTAGGAGATTCAAAATTATTTATAAAGAAATTGAGAAGACGAATGTCAAAAAAAAAAAATCAAGAGCACTCAACTTTGGAGGAAAATTATACATTTCGATTCAAAAATCCTGAAGCAAGCTGGACAAAAATGTATAGAACACTCACGCAATGCACATATAAACAAGACACAATGAAAGATGCTGGTGATCCCTTCCATCAACAAAAGTCTGAAATTGACCTTTAGAAAGCATTTAGGGGAACCCCACTTGGCTATGCTCTCACCTCTTGGAACTCCTGAACACTTACATAAGTGGTCCTTTGGTCTCTATACAGTCTAGAGCTTCTCCAATCAAAGTGGGGTCCACAACCAGCAGGATGTGTCATACAGAATTCTGGTTTGATCCCAGACTTTCTGAATCAGAACCTGCATTTGTTAACAGGATGCCCAGGTGATTTCTTCACATGTTATGGTCTGAGAAGTGCTCCTCTAGGGCAGTAAGGCTCAAGAGTGACTATACACTGGAACTCCCAGGAGAACTTTAGAAAATTCCAAGGACAGACCATCTGCCAAACTACTTAATTCAGAATCTCCAGCCCTGGAATTCAGTAAGAGTACTCTTTAAAGTTCTCCAGCCGATTCCAATGGGTAGCCAAGATTGAGAATCACTGTTCTAGAACACTGGGTATCTTTACTCAGCTAAGTACTGTTGCTCCCAGCTTTAGCTAATATGGTTGACCCCTGAACAACACGGGTTTGAAATGCACATGGATTCTTTTCAATAAATATATGTACAGTATCATTAATGTATTTCCCTTCCTTATGATTTTAACGTTTTATTTCCTCTAGCTTACTTTATTTTAGGTATAGAATATATGATACATAAAACATGTAAAATATGTGTTAACCAACTGTCTACATTATTGGTAAGGATTTTGGTCAACAGCAGACTATTTATTAGTAGTTAAGTTTCTGGAGAGTCCAAAGTTATATGTCAATTTTCAACTGCACAGGAAGTCAGTACCCCTAAATTCCCACGTTGTTCAAAAGTCAATTTTGTTTTCATTTTCCCTAAATCATTATAATACTGCGGTAGGAAAATTTCCACTTATGGTTGCCCATTACTATAGGGAGAACAACGACTAACAATGCTAGGAAGAAAAAAATAGAAAATCCATGATAAATTCTGTTGGAATAGAAAAAGCAAATTATGTTGTGTCATTTTAAATTACTTCCAATAAAAAACATTCATATAGCTACAGTTTCTCCATCCACATCATACCCTCATAATTTTCTTACAATGTTAAAATAAAGAAGAGCAATTATTGTAATGCAAGAAGATTTTTAGTATTTTTTAATTTATTTTTGAAAGAGAAAACATACATACAAGCAGGGAAGGCACAGAGAGAGATGGGGACAGAGGATCTGAAGCAGGCTCTGTGCTGACCAGAGAGAGCCCGACGTGGGGCTCGAACTCACGAACCGTGAGATCATGACCTGAGTGAAGTCGGACGCTCAACCAACTGAGCCACCCAAGCACCCCAGGGAGATTTGTAATGCTCAGGGTTTTGTTTTGTTTTTTTAATTTTTAAAAATGTTTTATTTATTTTTGAGAGAGAAAGCATGGGGTTGGAAGGGACAGAAAGGGGAGGGGGGGACAGAGGATCCAAAGCGGGCTCTGCACTGATAGCAGCAAGCTCAATGCAGGGCTTGAACTCACAAACCGTGAGATCATGACCTGAACCAAAGTCAGATACTCAACAAAATAAGCCATCCAGATGCCCCAAATGCTCAGGGTTTTCAAAGTCTTTTTCTGTACAGCTAAATTAGCAGCTAAACCCTATTCCCTAGTGGCTTTGCTAACTTGTATCTAGATAGCAAATGAAAATATTAAGACTCATATGAAAGGGGGGCGGGTGCCTAAGTAGCTCAGTCGGTTAAGCATCTGACCTCGCCTCAGGTCATGATCTCGCGGTTTGTGGATGTGAACCCCATTTTGGGTTCAGTGCTGACAGCTCAGAGCCTGCAGCCTGCTTCGGATTCTGTCTCTCTCTCTTTCTCTGCCCCTCCCCCTCTTGTGTTCTGTTATCTCTCTCGCAAAAATAAACACTAAAAAAAAATAAATAAAAAAAAAAGACTCATAAAAAAGAAGTCAAGCTTGCATAAATATTACATGTCTAGCTACAATTCTTGATTAATGAAACATAAGGATCATTTAACAATATAAAATAAGGCCTAGGGGTGCCTGGGTGGCTCAGTCAGTTAAGCATACAACTCTTGATCTTGGCTCAGGTCATGATCTTACGGTTCATGAGATTGAGCCCTATGTTGGGCTCTGTGCTGACAGCATGGAGCCTGCTTAGGATTCTCTCTCTCCCTCTCTCTCTCTCTCTGCCATTCTCTTGCATGTGCGTGCACTTTCTCTCTCAAAAATAAATTTAAAAAGTTTTTAAATAAAATAAAATAAGGCCTAACTCATGTGAATTAGCATATGTTATAATTTGAGGGGCATACTTATTTTATTCTCAACTGTCATGAAAACATTAACCTTTAAATACCTTTCTTCCAGAAAAAGAAGAGACAGTTTTGTGAACATAGTCTTTGGTAACTGAACTTCACTGGATATAAAACAGGTAGAAAAAGAAAATATTTAGCAGCTGTAACCTTTTTTTTTTTCAATGTTTATTTATTTATGAGAGACAAAGAGAGATAGCACACGAGTTGGGAAGGGGCTGAGAGAGAAGGAGGCACAGATTCTAAAGCAGGCTCCAGGCTCTGAGCTGTCAGCACAGAGGCCAATGCAGGGCTCGAACCCACAAACCTTGAGATCATGACCTGAGCTGAAGTCAGACACTTAACGCTTAATCACCCAGGCGTCCCAGGATAGCTGTAACTCTTAAATCCCATCAAACAACTTCCTGCTCTTCTCCAGGAGAAACTTGCAACCCACCTCCTCATCACTGCTGAACAGTAAGGCAGATGCTTTCTTTCTGGAGGGCTCAGAAGGCTTTGCTTTCTCTTGGCTCTGAGTTAGAAGAGAAGATGTCTGCTTCTTAGCAGCTGTTGCCCCAAAAAGATTATCCTAGAAAAACAAATGACAGAAGAGTATGACAACTTCATACACATAAAACAAAACACTTCGATCTTCCATGTCAAATTGTTAGAGAATAAATCTCTAGTCAGGTACAGAATATGTATAACACCTTGGAGAGAAAAAAAAAATCACAAAATGCCAGTAAATCCCACTTCTCTCTTATGTATATCCCTAAAATAACAGTCTACTATCTTCTCTCACTGTATTCTCCATTCACAGAAGGGAAACAGACCACATGGAACTCAAAGGCAAAACACTTGGGAAGGAGCAGGAGGAGGGTAACTTGAGGATAAGAACACAGAACGAGGAAGAAATCCGGCCCCACTCAGGCCCGCTGTGGGTGGGCCCTGTATGTTCACTAGGGAGACCAGTACAACCCGTGTGGCAGCCAACAACTTGGACCTTTCTATGAATTAGAAACCAGAGCAATGGATTATTAACAATAAAGAGAAATAGGGAGCTCTTTCCACTCTTCCATACCTACCGAAGTCACACACCTGGGACAGAGGGAAGGCATGACTTGTGTTTCTGGTTAATTTTAAAAAGACAACACAAACTTAAGAAATAATTTACCAGATATAATCACTGGCCTACTGAAGAGTTGATTCTCATAGGTTGAATGGCATTTGCCAAGTTTTGTATAGTCAGGTATTCCCAAAGTATCTATTAAGGTATTTTCACTAAGGTAATAGAAACAAAATCATCAGAGGGCCTGAACCCAAGTTAGAAGAACACTCTCAACAATATACTACAGCAGGTGAATAATCCTGATATGTAAAAATTCAATGAAAGGAGCCTTTAAGCAGGGTAGAGTATGGGAAAATAAGGAAAGGACGTGCCAAAAATGAACTGGCATCCGATGGGGATACTAACGGCAAGAGCTAATATTTCCGATGTGCCAGGTACAGTGTCAAGAGCTGTACATTAGTTGTGTCGGCTGCTACAATGACCCTATACTCTATTAAGCTATATTAGGTTCAGGAGGTTGAAGTTACTTGCCCAAGGTCCCTGATTTGCAAGTGAAAGCAGGGGTCTGGTGCCAAAGCCTATGAGCTTGGCCACGGCCCAGTACTGCGTAAGAGGGAAGATTTGGTTTGTCTTCCCTCTTATTTCTTTCCCCCACTTTGCACTCTCATGCAGGGCAGGAAAGAAAAAGGTGAGGACATGGCCATCTTCTCCTATTCCTGCTTTGTCCAAGACGCTGTGGATCGCTGTGTATAACAAAGATCCATCCTCTATATTTCTTACAGGTAGATTTTTAAAATGAAATCTACAAAGCCTTCCACAAGAGCTGGGCCAAGAATCTAATGTCCTGCCCATCGTACAGCTAAGAGGACTCAAGGAAGGAATCACTGAGACAAAAGCTAAATATTTTTGTTATGTGAGCCTCAGATAGTTTGCCTCCCTATCACCTTGTTCTACTGTATGAGCCTCTGACTAGAAATCTACATCAGCAATGGTTTTCTACTCCTCAAAAACTTATTTATCTTGCGCTACAGTAACAATGTTTACCTCTTCATCTTCATCATCAAAAAGCGAGACCGACGTGGGGAGTTTGCTAGGCAGGAGAGATGCCTCTTTTGACTTACTCACATTTTGTGAAGAAAACAAATCCTGTTGGATCAAGATTAAAGTTCCTGGTTAACAAGACAGACCACATTCTTTGAAGTATCAATTAAACATAAAACACTGAAGACTATAATATAATGGCTGCGTGAGTCTAGGTCTCCTCGTGACAGAGAAAGTGGCTGAGAACACGTGTCAGTTTCTCCTAGCAGAGTGCAGCACAGAACCCACATGTGAGAAAGAAGATGCCACCATAGAACTCCAGGTGGCCTCACTGGAGGTTTCTATACTCCCACGTGGACATTTTCCAATCAATCTCTTATTGTGCTAAAAAAGTAGCAAAGACTTCCTTTTTTTGTCCTAAGAATCAGAATGATGAAACAGATTCAATACTGGAAATAGAGACTAGATTCCCAAATTACTGGATTTAGGACTTTGTTTTATTTACTAACACCCTCTTCTCCTCTGAGAAGAGTATTATACTGTTTCTTTCAAATAAATACGAATTCATATTTTATTTTAAAATGTTTGGTATTCTACTTGAACTATAGCTAAGAGATGTTGCAAAAGATCTGGTAGACTCTAAAAAACTTCCAAAATGTGATGGTGTCAGCCTATGATACAAATTGAGCTGCATGAATTAGAAACATAAAATGGGACACCTATTCCCTTAGGACAGGAACGTGAATACACAAGAGCCAGACAATTAAATAGCACAAGAACATAGTTTCTAAGACCTCTCTGGATAATTTCTTTTTATTATGGAATCCACATCTACTCTCAAACATAGACCTAAAGATTTCATTAACTGAGAAGAACTCTTCTCGGCCCAATGGATTCGCCTGGACCCCATGGAGTTCCACGGGTTGGCTGAGGTAAAGAAACCACATAGGGGGAGCTACAGGCTCCCACGCCTCTCCTGCATTTTACACACTAGCAAGATTGCATTTCAGGAAAGATTTCACTGCACTGCTTCACTTTTTCTTGCCCAGGCACTCTGATAGTACCCAATAAAGACAATCTATGACTGTGTACATGGGACAAAGGCTTTGGTGGTGGTTATGAAACCTGTCTGCAAATTCTTTTATACTCCTGCCATCAACAAGTGGAGTCTGCATTCCTGCTCTTAAACCCTGGAGGGCCTTTGTGACTGCCTCAATAATGCTGCCATCCAGGGCTCGGTTACAAAAAGCCACACAGCCTCTGCACAGCTCTCCGGGGAATCTCACTTTGAAGCCCTGCGCCACCTCTGAGAACCCACCTTCCCTGAAGCTGCCATGCTAGGAGACCACATAGAGATAGAGAGGGGTGCCCCGAGAGCCCCAGCTGTCTGAGTCTTTCTCACCCAGGTACCAGACCTATGAGGATTCTCAGCCCACCCACCTTCAGACTGGAAACATGTGAGAGACCCTAAGTGAAAAGCGCCTAGCTGAACCCAGTCCACTTCTAGAACCGTAAGAGATCATAAAACTTAATGGGGTTGTCAGCTACTAAGTTTTGGAGTGATTTATCTCACAGTAATAAGGAACTGGAACACCTTTTAAGTCACGGAAATTGCTCACATTTGGTTTCTTCATGTAATCAACAACTATTTGTTGGCTTCTCAACTGCCAAGCACTAGTCTAGGTGTATGAGGAGGAAACAAAATGCCCTGCCCTCATGCAGATCATTCTAGCTTATTCTCAGCTTATCTGAGATAACCCACAAGCACACAAGAAGTGTCACACGGCAACATATACTGTGAAGCACAGAACAGAAGAGAGGGCAAGGAGTGCAGCGTGGCACATGCTAGCAGGTTTGTAATCATGCAAATGGCCATCGGGGGAGACCTCAAAAAAGAACTATAGAAAGTAAGGAAGCAAGGCGTCCAGTTTCTGGGAACAGCACTCCCAGAGGGCAGAGGTCAGTGTGGTTGTGCTTGATGAGCAGGAGGCTGGGAGTGTGGATGAGACCAGAGTGTGAGGCCCCAACATGCCGTGCCAATGGGTCAGGAGTTTGGCTTAACTGGAGTCTGGTTAATTCCTATCTTCTGTACACTGCCGTCAATGAAATATAAGCCTCACAGGTTTTATTTACATCACTGGCAATCACTCCACTTCCAAAGATTTGTTCGTCCATCCTAGCTGTTAGTGCAAAGTAATCGTAAGAGCTTACACCAGAGTTTACAATTTCCTGAAATTACACGTAAATTTCTGCCGTGTCCACATATTTTTCTATGAAGAGGATTTGTTACATTCTCAGACAGGTCTCTGATCCCCTACAGGCCTAGCCTAAAATTCGTTCTCCAAGAACCTAGGCCTGTGAGAGTCAGATAAAGCAGTGACACTTCTGAGAGCTGATGCTGTTCCATGGAAAGATGTTTCTAGGCGGGAGCCTGTGAGGACCGAGGCTGGCAGCAAGCACTGCCCGCCCACACTGTTCCTGGTCATAAGAGGCTATGCCAGAATACATAACACTATGGCACTACGCCCACTACTCAGTGAGACTACTGAAAAGAAAATGGTATGTCGATTCCTGTTAAAAGCATCTCACTCATTGTGGATCAACAAAGAGCCTTCAATTTGAGCCTCCTGAACAGAGTATTTTCCTCCCATGAGATGTACTGGATTCAACACCCTTAAGAGTGAAAAGCATCACTCTAAACATGAGTTTTCAAGATATTAATTTCAGGGGCGCCTGGGTGGCTCAGTCGGTTAAGCAGCCGACTTCGGCTTGGGTCATGATCTCGTGGTCCGTGAGTTCGAGCCCCGCGTCGGGCTCTGTGCTGACAGCTCAGAGCCTGGAGCCTGTTTCAGATTCTGTGTCTCCTCTCCTGACCTCCCGTGCTCATGCTTTGTTCTCTCTGTCTCAAAAATAAATAAACGTTAAAAAAAAAAAAACTAAAAAAAAATTAAAAAAAAAAGATATTAATTTCAAAGAAAGAATTACAATACTTAATAAAACGTCTTACACATCAACTGACAGAATCGTCATTTAGAAATAGTTTCAGGGCACCTGGGTGGCTCAGTTGGTTCAATGTCCAATGTCAGCTCAGGTCATGATCTCACGGTGTGTGAGTTCGAGCCCCGCATTGGGCTCTGTGCTGGCAGCTCAGAGCCTGGAGCCTGCTTCAGATTCTGTGTCTCCCTTTCTCTCCCTCTGTCCCTCCCCTACTTGTGCTGTCTCTCAAAAACAATAAATGTTAAGAAAAAAAAAATAATTTCTAATGTCATACCCAAGGACTAATTCCCAGAACTAAGAAAGAGAATTCCTTACCTCAGAGTCCTCTTCGTCTGAAAATAAACCTTTTTGAGTCTTCTTTGTTTCTGACAAGGGCTTGGGACTTTTGGTGGAAGGTTGGGTAACCTTTGATGGGAAAAAAAAACAAAAACAAAAACCTGAGAGTTAACAAATAAGAGAACCGGAAAGGAGGGTTTATTCACACGTTCACGTAGAAAACACTCTGAGTCTCTGCTAGGATAAAGCACTAGGCCGTATGCCAAGGGAAAAACGATGCTGCGGACCTAAAACATGTATCAAATTTGTACAAAGAATTAATGCAAAAGAAGTTTCACAAGAAAGAATTTAAAAACTGGTATAAGTTAGGAAAGAAGACAGAAATAGCTCCCTGATAAATCTTTCAGGACAAAGCCTGGGTGCAGGAGATAGTACAGGCACGGACACTGCAGACAGAGGGAACCACATGAGAAGAGAAGAACAAGTTGAGACAGAGGGCACATCTGTTGGATCAACAGACTGTGATAGAACAGACTGCCTACCTACAGTGCGCAAATGGCACATGTATGATTGGAGCCAACATAGGAAGGTAGGCCACCCTAGGAGCCTGCTGGGCTCTGAATGCTGGGACCTAGGTGGTCAGCAGTGGGAAGGTGAGGGTTTCACGGTGAGGACACACAAGATGTGCTTTAGAAAGAGGATGGATCACGTTTCCGGGTGGCTTAGCCAGTTAAGTCTCTGACCAGCCAGCTTGGTCACCGGTATCTAGCGGTCCGTGAGTTCTGAACTTGAGGTGTGTCAGGCTCTGGGCTGATGGCTCAGGAGCCTGGGAGCCGTCTCGATCATGTGTCTCCCTCTCTCTCTGCCCTCCCCCGCTTCATGCTCTGTCTCTCTCTGTCCCAAAAATAAATAAACCTTAGAAAAAAAAAGAAAAGGATGAGATGTGATCAGGGAATACCTTTAAGCCTTGATCAGTCATGAGTCGTGCAGCCTCCAATGAAGTACTCGAGATTCTAAATAAAGTAAATAATCAATTTAAGGGGAGACAGGAGGAGAGGTCAGGCAGAAGGGGGTAAGGGAGGGAGGACGGGTGTGAGGGGAGGAGCGAGGAGGGAGGGAGGCGAAGGGCGACAGGAGGAGAAGGAGGAAACGGGAGAAGGAGGCGAAAACAGACTCTACCACTCGAAGAATACCAAGGAGATACGCCCAAAGAGCTTCAAGTTAATGGGATACGCAGTATGGCCACAGTTCAATGGCATATCACAAAAAAAAAAACCAAAAAACAAACAAAATGATGCTAATAGTTTATGGGTTGAATAGCATCCATGATCCCATGAGATAACTAAAAAAAAGCAGGAAGAGGAGAGAAAGCTCTTCTGTTCTGTTTGAAAAATGTCAGCCAATGTAGAAGATAGGGAGAATTGAAAACACTATCTTTGTTGGCCCTTAATGCATTGATTCAGAAAAGATCACAAGGTCATCCAACAAGATGTGCTCAATCCAACAAGTGCCTCAGTGGTGGTGGCAGTTTGGGTGTTCACTGTAATTTCTTCTTTTCCCTGCTGATGTTGCAAACCAATAGCACCATACACTTGAAGGGAAACACCACTTCCCTCTGGGTTCCAGATGAGATTAACAAGATGTCCCAGGCAACACTTAACAAGACCTTAATTCATTAGGTTTCTTTCCCACTCATTCTTTTTTTCTGCCCTGTTTTTTTTCAATCTGTCTGATTCCATTAGCTTCAAGCAGCGCTTTTCTTTTGAACAGGTCTCTTCCTCATCATCAAAAGATACTGGCAGGGATTTGACCTTGTTCTTTAGAAGATACCACGGCACAAAATTATACTAAGGTCAAAAATCCCACCACAAATTCATGAATTAAAATCCTCCCGGTGTCTGGTGGCTCAGTTGCGGGCGGCTGACTTCAGCTCAGGTCATGGTTAGTCCATGAGTTCAGTAAAACCCTGTCGGGCTCTTGCTCAAAGTCCTGACCCATTCTTTGGATTCTGTGTGTCCCTCCCTCTCTGCTCCTCCCCTGCTTGTGCTCTCTGTCTCGTAAATAATATAACGTTAAAATTTTATCAAAGTAAAAAAAATCCTTCCCTCCCAAGAAGTAAATAGAAAATTATTTTTTTTTTATTAGTTATGAAGCAATTTGAAGTGGATTACATTGGATTTTTCAAAGAACACAAAAGAGCCCAAATGAAACACAGGACCAATGATTTAACCACCTGGCTCATACACTCATCCAACCAGCCAGCATCTTATGCTTAGAGTAGCTTTGGATTAAGATAAAAAGGTAAATACATGCTCTAATAGAAGAAGATTATTTAAGAAGCAACCACCCAAAAAAAAAATTGGGGGGTGGGGGCACTTGGGTGGTTCAGTTGGTTAAGCATCCGACTCTTGATTTTGGTTCCGGTCATGATCTCAGTCATGAGATGGAATCCCATGTCGGTCTCTGCGTTGGGCATAGAACCTGCTTGGGATTCCCTCCACCCCAGCCTTTCCTTCTGCCCCTCCCCCGCTTCCATGCCCTCTCTCTCACACTCTCGCTCCCTCTCAAAAATAATAATAATAATTAAACAACAACAACAAAAGAAGCAACCATCCTAGGAATCTGTGAAGTGAGGGTTGGCTCCTCTTTGTAAAAAATCAAACTACTGGGGTGCCTGGCTAGCTCAGTCAGTAGAGCATGTGGCTGTTGATCTCATGGTTATGAGTTCAAGGCCCATGTTGGGTGTAGAGATTACCTGAAAATAAAATCCTTAAAAAAAATAATAAATAAATAAAAATTAAAAGTCAATCTACAGGGGCATATAAAAGCAAATACTACTGGAATCTCCCCCATAACTCCACCTGCCCACCCAAACAAGACGACCACTGGGAACACACACATCTAATTTCCCCAGAGGATATGCTAGAATGCTCTCTTCAGTGATTCACAGGTAAGGCTATAAATGACAACATGATTCTAATAATAGGTCTTAGGATTTATGTTTTTCACTTAATCTGCCTAGCGAATCTTCCCATGTTAACATATACAGACTTCATTCTTTTTAACACTTCACCAAATTCCACTAAACAAGAGAACCGTAATGTAACCTAGGGATGAGCACCTGGGGAGTTTCTGACCTTTCACTACCAGGAGCACTGCTGCACTGATTGAGCTGTGCATCACTGAAAGGAGGACATTGATTTGTGAACGTCCCAGGGGAGCGGCAGCTGCCAACTTACTCGTGACTCTTAATCAGTTCTCAGTGACAACCCACTAAGTGAGAGCCTTCCCAGACCAAGAGAGGCACCACCAGCTTTAATCACTGTCATTTTAGTTGGCCTAGATCTCAGTGTATTATGCGTCCGTTTGTACTCTTTCTGTAATAACCAGGTGGTTATTTCCCTCAGGTTTCTTCTCCTATCCTTACTTCTCACAGCCACCCCTGGAAAAGGAGCTAAGTCCAGGAAACATGCTTCTCACTGAATCCTGGTTCATCTAGTCTTTATAAGACAGAGTCCTCATGTTGCTGGAAACGGTGTGCACCCAGTAGTTTATCCTTCTTTTCTGGAAAAACACCAAGTGTGACCCACAGACCAGCAATCTCTGCCCACCAGGGAGCCTGTTAGAAATGTACAATCACAGGCCCCAGCCCGTACCCACCGCATCTGAATCTGCATTCTGACAAGAGTCCCAGGAGACTCACCTGCACATAAATGAACAAATAATTTAGGAGAGAGACTTCATGAAATGACAGGCTTAAGTTTGAGGGGAGAAGAAAGGAGAGTGCCAAAGTGGCCAAGGGGCTGAAAACCCTGCCATACAAGAAAAGATCAAGGATATGTAGGCTTTCTGGCCAGAGAGGCTGGCAACTGAACAGCTAACATGTGGCATTCTGTCATATAATTTACTAAGTGCTGCCAGAAGAAAGTGTGATTAAAACTTTGTAATTCCAGGGGTGCCTGGGTGGTTCAGTCAGTTAAGCGTCCAACTTCAGCTCAGGTCACGATCTCACAGTTCGTGGGTTTGAGCCCCACGTCGGGCTCTGTGCTGACAGTTCAGAGCCTGCTTCGGATTCTGTGTCTCCTTCTTTCTGCCCCTCCCCTGCTTGCGCGCTCTCTCGCTCTCTCTCTCTCACAAATAAACATACATCAAAAAAATAAATAAATAAAATAAAAACTTTGCAATTGCAAAGATCACAACTAGAAATCTTCAGCAGGTATTACAGGGGAACAGATTTCAGCTCTCCATGAGGCAGATAATCCTAGTAATTAGTTCCCAAAGCAGGAAAGATTGGTTGATAAAACAGAGACTTCTAAGGCACCATGACTCCTGCAGCAGGGATGAAGCTCTGTGGCAGGAGGGCTTGAGGAGGGACCCTGGCACGGCAGGACACAGACAACAGGACAAGCTTTATGCCCTTTTCCGGTCAACATTCTTTCCCTGGCTGAATTCCCAGAAAAAGAGGCTGGACCAGGTACCTGTCTTGGAAGGTTTGCTGGAGGATGCCGCAAAGAAGTCGTCATCGTCATCGTCATCATCGAAGAGGCCAGCAGGGGCTGGAGGGTACGGGCTTTTCCTTGGAGCAGGCTGCTCAGGCTTCTGTGGCTCCTTCAGTGATGGAACAGAGGTGGCACCGAACACATCAGTGTCTCCTGTGGGTGGAGGGACAGGGCAGCCATAGCTGTGAGCTGGTGTGTGTGGGTCCCCTGGCTTTACAGGAAAAAAAAAAAAAAAAAAAAAAAAAAAAAAGGACCACCCACCAAGAACATTTAGCTTCCATTCATCCCCAAAATACATTAATAGGACCCAGTCATCCCCATCCTTTACTGCTACAGAACATTCCACGATGCAAATCACCTGGTCACTGAAACACAAGTCCAAGGCCACTGACTTCTAAGAGAATATGAGCTAACACCAGTAAATGAGCTCTTCCCATAGGCTATTTGTTGCCCTCTGAACCGCCTCCTTTCCAGCAAGCAGTTAGATGACAATTTTAAAAATGACAAAACAGTACTTATTTGCTTTTTAAAAAAGAAACCCTAAATTAGGGTACCTAAAAATACAGAAACAGCTCCTGCTGGGATTTTCTTTCCGGGTTTGGAGGATGAAGACACTAAAAATGAGAAAGAAAAAAATAACCATTTCAGAAAAGATGACTTTTCTTGTTAAATGTACCTAAAATGTGTGCAACACAATACACAGCTAAGTGGAGACCTTTTAAAACTAATTTTTCCCAAAAGAGCCATTTTAAAACTCCTTAGCTTTAGCTTATTCTTCTCTCTACCAGCATTACTTTTTTATTGGCGTTAATATAATCTAAGCTGTGATTCCCTTGGACGATCACTCTGATCAAACAATAGCAGTGGGGTTAGTTGGGGAAGCCAAGGAAGGGGTAGAACACAACAGGGAAGGCAGAAGCAGAGCAAGCCGGGCTCCTTAACAGTTTCGCCTCTATCCATTCCAGTTGGAGAACAAACAAGTAGAAAGAACAGCAAAAAACATGAGACATCAACAAAAAATATGAAGACAGTAACAGTAAAGAGGGAAACTAGCATCCACTGATGCTGAGAAGTGGAGGGCAGGCAGCAGGACATCAAGCCAGCCAGTGTCACAGCAAGTCCAAAATCTGATGACTGATGGCCCGAGGAGACCGCTCACTTCACATAACTAAGTCCCAGTTCCTAAGAACTACCACATACCTAATGGAATAAAATTTGTTAAGTTTTTTTTTTTCCCTTTTCACGGGTGCTCCACAGAGGATTCTGACGCACACCAGACTATGGAATTAATGACCTCCAACTTATATACAGAATTTTAGAAGTGTTTCTTTGAATTAAAGATGATTAGAGATGCCTGGGTGGCTCAGTCGGTTAAGCATCCAGCTCTCAGTTTCGGCTCAAGTCATGACCTTGCAGTTTCGCGAGTTCAAGCCCCATGTTGGGCTCTGCACTGACAGTGCGGAGCCTGCTTGGGATTCTCTCTCTCTCCTTCTCTTTCTGCCCCTCCCCTGCTCACACTGTCTCTGTCTCTCTCAAAATAAATAAACAGAAAAGACTACTGAATTAAACATGATTAAATTAAAATATCCTCAACACTGCTCAAGACTACTTTCCTTCTTTGACTTTTTATGAATTCTCCCCCAAGGAAGAGACAAAACCATGATGTTGGTTTATAAGTGGCACTTTTGGCTTTTCCAAGACATGAATTAGTCATTAGACATGAAAATTAGCTGCTTTTTACTAGACCAAGGCAAGCAGAACAGCTTCCTGCCTAACAAAGAAGCAAGGCCTGGGAACAACTTCAGGGGTTCCATCTCCTAATGAGAAGTAAACTGTCTTGGAACTCTGTTCCCAAACAAGAAGAGTCAGCCTAAATCCGAGCTCACCTGCATTAACAGAGCTTCGAGCTTCCTGATCCTGAGGGGCTTCCGTGAAGAGATCACTCTGGTTGTAATAAAGCATAGGACACAAAACTTCAAAAAAGCAGATGAAAATGTAGTTGCATTGTGGATTTCTAAAGAAAACTACCTCGTAAAGTTTAAAGATACATATTTACTGTCCTGCAAGAAATTCAATTCCAAAGTAAAGACTATGGCAAAATCAGACCCTTAAATGGTTTGGGCCTACCCAGGAACTAAAATACAGAAGAAGACAGTAAATAAGGTAAGAAACAACTCCTTGATCAAGTAAATTATTCATTATTAACACTCTCACATCTCTCTCCATCTCACACAGGACATCAGGGTACAGTATTTTCTCACTTTGTGATTCTTGGTTCAAAATCTCCCAAAATAAGAAAGTAGAAGCAACTTGCAATTAAGAAGCCATTTTTTTCATACCTAATTATAGACCCATGATGCAACTATGGCAAGCTCCACTGATGACCACGGACTCACCTCCTCATCCTCATCATCAAAAAGTCCCTTCCCTCCACTGAACAGGCCACCTCGAGAGCCAAATGGAGAGAAATCTTCATCAGTCAGCTTGGGGGGTGCGAATAAGTTGTCCTCTTCGTCTAACAAGCAGAAAGGAATGTTTAGCAGGGACTGCTAAAGATGGGTTTGGAACTCAAATTCCCAAGGTCGACCTTTACAACATCGCCAAGCCTGGCCTGGAGTGTACCTAACCCCATGTAACAAGAAGTACTTGAGTGCCAGCATTCTGAGGAATTTCAAACAAAAACTTATTAAGCAGTCCAATGAATCCCTTAAAAGGCTCTCTGGGTTCCCACCCTCAACTCCGTAAATGTCTGAAGCAAAATGAACTCCGTAAGTGATCTCTTTTGTCTAGATCAGTTTCTCCGGAAGCAAGTACATGGTTCAATCACCTTCAGACCTATCTCACTGAGAATATGGGGGAAGCAAGAGCAGACTGAACAAAGATCTGTAGACTGACAATCAAGCAGGAATGTAATGCATGTCACTGTTAAATATAAAAGGGTTCAATATATTCTTTATCGAAAACAAACGCTAGAGATCCCTAGTTTCTATACTTCTGGAGAATTCTAGCTAATGATCGCTATAAAATAATTCAAATCCTTACAGCATTTTTACTCCACATTCAACTCTCCTCCAAGCATCCCAAAGCACACTTTTAAATGCTTTGGGAATGAAAATAGAGAGAGACTCCATTTGTGAATATTCAAAATGGTATTCTACAAATTATGAAAGCAAATTCCTGAATCAAGAGCCTCCTAAAATAACACAATTGAGGGGAAAGGCCTACCATCTGAGGGAGTTCTCCTGTCCTTCTTCTCCTTTGGTGTCTTCCGAGGTTTTCCTTCTCCTATGGACAAGACTTGAAGAATATTTCAGTTCTAACCACACTGAGCCTACCCTTAGTATTTATATACTGATGTTTTACACTTCTGTCATGCTCATGGCCCCGTTAAGAGCAAGACATTCAACTCTGTGTCTCAGCTCCCCCAGAGTCCATGTACTTCATTCAGCACCTTACACGGCAGGGACTCAAGCTGAACGAATTATTCTGGTATCTTTCCATCCTGTTAAATCACTACTTTATATGGTACATTTATATTTAGTCAAAATATAGGAGTAAATATTAAGCAAAAGATTCTTAATCTGGGGCCTGTGATTCTCCCGGGTTATCTATTAGTCCCCTGAAACTGCAAATAAAATGTTATACAGATGCGTACATATGCATTTTTCTTGCAGGGGGCGGGGAGGGGTCCACAATGTTTAATTATCCAAGAGTCTGTAAACCAAAAAAAGGGTAAGCCTTTCATGCCTTAGTAAAATTAAACAGAGAAATCTGCTCTCAGTGAAGCCCCGCAGAGGGTCCTGCACTCGCCCATCAAGTTAACCCATCTCAAAGACGTACTTTGCTCTTCCACCTGGCTTGCAGCTTCCCCTTTGATTCGAGCCGCCAGCTCATCAGCAAATGACGTAGGTCGACTTTTTTTCTACACACAGAAAAGACCAAAGTATCACCTGTTTTTGGTAACACACAAACTAGTACAGTTTACTTGTAATAACTAACAAAATTATGTAAACAAAAGCAAAGGGACTAAACGGATTAAAAATTTAACTAAATGAATTTAAACATAGAGCACCCTATACAGATCACTTGAGGAACAGGACTCTTTCCATAGACATGCTCCTTGTTCCTTTTATTTTTTAATTTTTTTTTTAGTGTTTATTTATTTTTGAGACAGAGAAAGACAGAGCATGAATGGGGGAGAGTCAGAAAGAGAGGGACACAGAATCCGAAGCAGGCTCCAGGCTCTGAGCCGTCAGCACAGAGCCCGACACGGGGCTCAAACTCATGGACTGTGAGATCATGACCTGAGCTGAAGTCAGACGCTTAACTGACTGAGCCACCCAGGCGCTCTCCCCCCCGCTTTTTTTTTTCAATACTTCACTTTATTACTAGAAGAGAGAGACAGAAAACTACTATGAGGAATAAGGGGGGGAAAAGGTAAGGAGTATTAGGGTCTTAAAACCCTGGAATCAAATAGATTTTTGAATGATCTAACTTATAAAATCGTAACAATTGGAAGAGAAAGTGGTACTCGTACAGCAACTAGTAATACTCAACCATTATTTTCAAAAGTGTAAATGGAATTACAAATATGCAAAAAGAGACAGTTATCAATAAAAATGACAATAAAAGTAATGAGTCCTCAGTGCCATTTCTAAAACCCTGACAAGAGAGTGACTATGGTCTTTCTTACAGGTCTGGTATTTTCTTCAATGTCCTCAATATCTTCCTCCTCCTTCTCAGAGTCAGCGAAAATGTCACAACCATCATCGTCCTCTTCTTCGTCACTCATTTGTGCAGTGTGCTAGGAGGACAAACCATGAGATTAGAACTAGCAGATAAATAAGGTCATCAAGCTGAAAAAGAGATACTGTCACTCAACCTTAAGGCAAAATGGTGACAGCTTGTCAAATAAGGATGATGATGGTAATGCAGCAAAAGTCAAAGTAATAAATGTACTAAAACAAGTAACATACAAGATTTATTTTCAGCGTAAATACTGTACACAGAATGACGAACACTGAATATGTAAAATGTCCACCACTAGAGAAATAATAACCTAAATAAACATAGTCTTATCTTGATAAGAACACTAATCATTAAAAGCAGTAAGCTGTAACAACTGGAGAGGTGTCCACAGCATCAACTGTAAAAAGTGCTAGATGAGAATCCCAGCAAGATACCCTGCCCACCCGACCCCAACACGGACCTCCTCTCTACTGACACAGATACATTTAAAAGCAAAGAAAAGCACTTTTCTTCCATCACAACAATTACCTCTGAAGAGTGTGAGAAAATGAGCACTAGAGGGCTCAAAGTAAGCTTTACCTGTTAAGTTATAATTTTTATAAAAGCAGCCACTGGTATGCATAATTTATACAACTAAAAAAACATTTTTAAAAAATTGTTAATGTTTAAATCAATAAACTGTGCCAGGCACTATGCTGAAAGTACTTTATTGACTACTTTAATCTTCAGAACCCTGAGGTTAGCTGTGGCACACAAAACCAGTCTATCTTTAACACTACAAATATATGGTTAGGCCAACACTTTTAATCACTATATTGTATTATTTAAAGGTCTGAATTTACAGGCATCTGGCTGGCTTAGTTGCTTACATGCAACTCTCCATCTCAGAGTTGGGAGTTCGAGCCCCCATTGTGTATAGAGATTACTTCAAAATCAAATCTTCAAAAATTTTTTCAAAATAAGCAAATAAATGTCTGAATTTATCAACCATATTAGTATGTTTTATAGAAATAAATGTTCTCTAAAGACTGATTATTAAATCACCTCTGTGAATGGAAAATACAACTACCAACCAAAAAGGACTAAATCCTTCATTTGGTAGTTGAAAACGTTTGTGGAAAAATATGCCCCAATTAGGAAACTGAAGTGCAAACTGGGACTATCTCAAAATACCACTGTACATATAATATGTTAGCAAAAATCACAACCCCAGGGCTGATAAGATTATGAGAAAATCAGTATGCATGATCAGTAATGAGAATAGTATCAAGAGCCTTTACTATAATTCTACACTATCTCATTCCTAAGGAAACAGTTCACATAAGCAAAGGATTTCTGCATATGGAAATACATTCATGAATGCACTACTATCTCAAAAATAAAATCCTAGAAATAAACTATTTCCCATATAAATTTAGAGACTACAAAAGAGTCTGTAACTAAAAAGAGACTGTTGTCGTAACAGTACACTTAAAAACACAGAGTTCACAAAGCAAATTATAAAGGTAGCTTAAAATTGTAAGAAAACACTTGTGATACATTAAAATTGCAGAAGATAAACTATGCATATTGTGAAAAAAATATGTCCTTAGAAGGGTATACAAAAATTAAGACAGCTATGGTACAACTGTAGAATTAGATATTCATCTTTTGAGTGTTCCTTAACCTTACTGCTATATTATCCCAAATTTTAAAATACAGGAAGAGGATTCAGGTGAAATAGTTCAGTTTGAGTAACTGGGCCTTCCTTTTTAGAGGCTCTGTTTCCCAATTTTTGTTTTTCACTTTGTTTTCTAAGAAAAATGAAGATAAAGTATAAAGCAAAATTGAAAAAACAAAACAAAACCCAAGACAGTAGTTAACTTAAAAACATGAAATTCTTGGGGCACCTGGGTGGCTCAGTTGGTTAAGCATCCAACTTCAGCTCAAGTCATGATCTCACAGTTCATGAGTTCAAGCCCCACATCAGGCTCTGTGCTGACAGCTCAGAACCTGGAGCCTGCTTTGGATTCTGTGTCTCCCTCTCTCTCTGCCCCCTCCCCTACTCACGGTTGCTCTCTCTGTGTGTCTCTCTCTCTCTCTCTCAAAAATAAACATTAAAAAAATTTAAAAAAAACACATGAAATTTTTGAAAGAAAATTAGCTTACTAATCCTTACTTTCTCATCAGTCATTCTAAAGTAATTTTTTTATTTTTTAATTTTTTTTTTAGTTCCAATATAATTAACATACAGTGTTACATCAGTTCCAGGTGTACAATAAAGTAATTCAACAATTCTATACATTACTCAGTGCAATCCACTTCACCTTTTTCACCCGTTCCCCAACCCAGCTCTCCTCCAAAGTAATTTTAGCATATATTTAGTATATATGCTATGCTTCGGTTAAAATTTAAAAGCAAAGTCACTTCAGTTCATGAGCCTTACCCGGTTTTGGTCATTGTCACTATGAGTGGCAAAATCTTCATCTGACTCCTTTAGGGGGGAAAAAAGCTGTGTTGTTAATACAGAATTTAGTCACAAGCACAGAAATGACCTCAGGCCTAAGTCTCCAGGGCACATCTATATTCGGTCTCTTTGTACTGATTACTGGTCCCCTGAAGTATCAGGGCGCAGATAAGGTGGACAGTAGGCAGTATCACCAAGAGCTGTTCCAGCTAACGTGGAACTTTTGTAGTTAATTTAAACATCTCTAACAATTTGCTCATACCTATGTGCGCTACCATTGCTAACCTCTGAATTTAAAGTCAGAGTGGCACATTTAATTAATTAAATTATCAAAAGTTGGTTTGTGTGATTTTACATTTTGGACTCTCCACTCTCTATATTCCACGAAGCAGAACTACTTCACCAGGCCCAGTAGGGGACTATCAGTGTTTCCTACCAGGAATTGGGTGAAGAGTCGCATCAATGGCTAAAAGCACAGGAATTCAGCTAATGACCATCACTTATAGCCAGATTTTTTAGGAAACCCTTATGTCCCATTGTGAAGTGTTTTGTTTGCAGGGCCAGTGGCAGGAGGGCGGGGGAGGGGGAATGTAGAAATAAGAGGAAAGGAGCATGCATACAATATTGTCTCCTTTTAGGAATTAACACTCAAGAACTGCTCTTCAAACATCAGTAACAAATATTCCATCTAAAGGAACAACCCCAGATACAACAGTGGTCAAGGTCCACAGATGCCAAGGTCCTAGAGCAGGAGTCAGATCATGCTCTGTGGCTATGAAGATGCTAGGACTAGCAGCAAAGTGAAAATGTAAGTGGATGCTTTAAGCATTCTTCTGGTCTAGGTTTTATAGCAAAAAAAAAAAAAAAAAAGTTTAAAATATGGCCTTTTCCCCTACAATTACTCAAAGATAGAACCAGGCAGATTCTACCAAAATATCCAAGGTGCCCCCCTTCAAAATATATTGGCAGGAAGAGGCCTTGGTGGGGAGGAGGGAGGAGAGAGAACAGTAAAAGAGATTAAGGCAGTTTTCCTTGCTTTTGTACACAAGACAAAGAGGAAACTCAGTCCCAAAAGGGGGGTGGGGGGAACACAGAATATGGTTTTACTATCACTGTTAAAAAAATCTGTGCAAAGAGATTGCTAATTCACAAACATTTATTTAGCTTGCTAAACACACCCTAAGGTTCTTGCCCACCATGACCTGGAAACACCACAAAGCCCTTACCTCTTCTTCATTCTCTTCACTGTCTGCAATGCTGCCACGGTCGCTGCCTACTGACCCCTCTGGTTAGAAGAAAGATAAAGGGTTATCACCCATATTAATAATAAAACATCCTTAGTTCCTTCTTAAAATCATAAACCACCATACATCAGCATCACCAAGATTTTGAGAAAAGAACCTACACAGATTAACTGTAATTAAAAGTATCTTCACTATAGTGAGGGATAAAACATCTACAGAGTCTTAAAAGATCTCCCCACAAGATACTTATGAATTATAAAAAAAGTTAATGACCAAAGGAAAAAACTGGCCTGTATTCTTCAAAAATGTCAAAGCTGTAAAAAGCAAAGAAAGGCTGAGAAATTATATTAGACTAAAAGAAGACCAGAGATTTGACAACTATATGCAGTGAGTGATCCTGAACTGGAGCCTGGGCCAGAGGAAAAAAGAGCCTAGCCTATAAAGGACATAATTGGGACAGCTGGCAAAATTTGAAATACAACTGAGGATTAGCTAATAGTATTACATCCAGTAAAATTTCCTGACTTTGATAACACACTGTGGCTATACATGAGACTATTTTCAGTTTCAGAAAGTGTTTTCTATACAGAAATATTCTGGAGTACCAGGGCATGATGTCCGCACGATCTCTCTCAAGTAGATTCAGAAAAAAATACTATGTATATATAGAGAGAAAGAGCAAACAAATGTGATGGAATGTTAACAACTGGTAAACCTGGGTAAAGTGTACAGAGGAGTTCTTTGTACTATTCTGACAACGTTCAAGTAAGTTTGAAATTATTTTAAAATAAAAAGGTAAGATATAAATGTTCAAGGTAACAAAAATATTTGGTGCAAAAGAATACCTTCACTAGACAGCTCTCCGAGACCTACATCTTCCTGCTCCATGAATAGCTTTGACCCAATTAAATAAGGTAAAGGACGATCAATGTACAGATCCTGTAAACAATGAAAGGTAACAGCCATTAAATTTTCAGGCTAAAAACTAAGTTTTCCATTTGACATCTTGTTCCATGTGACTACCCCAAACAAGTGACATAATGAGAGTGGAGAATAAGAAACACAGCAGGATTCAAAGTACAGAAAACAAAACAAAACCAAAAACAAAAAAACAAAACCAAAAAACTGATTTTTTAAAAAGTGAAATCTTAGGTAAAAACAGCAAAGTAAAGCTAAATCACACAGAATCTCCCTTCTCAAGTGCCTAGTTACATTAAAAATGGCAGAGGCACACAAAAAGTTTACCAGTAGTAACCAAATAAGGGTTACAACTTCATAGTAACATGTTCAAAAGGAGGACAAAGGAAAGAAACTGAACGTTCTGGCCAGCTTTGATGCATCCCAGCTCTGCCTTCCTCCCCTAAAAAGCAGCGCTCGTGAGCAAAAATCAACCAATCAACTAACCACTCTTGAGAATCATCAATATTAGTCCTAAATTTGGAAAGAAGCACACTGAGGAAATAACCCAAATGCTTTTACAGGACTGTGGGGGGCAGGTGGGTATGTCCAGGTTTGGGGGTGGGAGCAGGTGTGGACCAGCAGCGGGACTCCTTTACATCGCATCAGAGCCAAGAGAAGGCTGGAACAGCGCACAGAAAGCATGGGCTAGATGAGGAGAAATAGAATAGCAACTATGCAAGTACCTATAGTCAACACAATGAACTAAAGGCACACATCAAAAAGACTGAGAACCTGTCTGGGAGAAAAAATAACCCAAAGAAGAGAATAATAATATCCCCCAGCAGCACCCACTGCATAACTTAGAAAAGTGAAGTTGGTAAAATTAAGACCAGATTATAAAACAACAGAATGAGGGGCGCCTGGGTGGCGCAGTCGGTTAAGCGTCTGACTTCAGCCAGGTCACGATCTCGCGGTCTGTGAGTTCGAGCCCCGCGTCGGGCTCTGGGCTGATGGCTCAGAGCCTGGAGCCTGTTTCTGATTCTGTGTCTCCCTCTCTCTCTGACCCTCGCCCGTTCATGCTCTGTCTCTCTCTGTCCCAAAAATAAATAAA